CGCCCCGGTGCCGCCCCCGCCCCCAGACGCGCCAGCCCGGCCTCCCAGCTCGCCACCCTCGCACGCTCTTCTCGGCGAGAGGCTAGAGGCAGTCGCGCGCCCAGCTCCAAATGTTTTCTGTCTTCCCTCATTCAGGATGGGCCAGGACACCCAGCTCCTTCAGATAACGATGGAGAAGGGGGCTAGAAGGTCTAGACTTGGAGGGAAGAGATGGCTTTCTTCCTCCTCGTCTCCCCTTACCTCCGGCGGAGAGGGCTAGGCTGCGATTTCCGGACGTATCCTTCTCTAAGCTATCCTGAAAGTTTTGGGTAGCAAATTAATTTCAACTCACTTTAGTTCTGGAAAAAATTAATGTTAGGATTAGGGATACAATCACGCCGCTCCCAGATATGAATTAGGAAATCTCTCGATCTAATTTAGACCGGAGAGAGCTGTGTTGTGGGAGGGGAGTAGCACAGCTGGTTGAGGGGGGCAGTAGCTTAGCGTTTAGGGGAGTCTCCAGTCCCCTCCGAGGGAGGGTTCACCAGCTGGGCCCTGCTACCCCCTCCCCTTCTAGTTGCCAGAATGGAAAATTCATGGAGTCCAGTTTAGCCCAGGTCAACAAACTTTTATTGCCATTTCTGGCTCCCCCAGCCCCAGCAAGAGCCCTGCTTACTCTGTAGAAATACTGAGCTCTGGTGCAGAGGAATGAGGGGTGTTACCTTTCTTTCTCTGCACATTGCCAAAGGTTAAAAAAAAACACTTGCTGGAGAGGGAGGGCCAGACAGGGGAGGAATTCAAGGGCACGTATGGCTTAGTCCCACTTCTGCTGGCTGCAGAATATAGAGACCATGGTTCCAAACATTTTTTTTAAAGGAGCGGAGAAGGGATTTGGCTGCTGTTGTACCCCTTGCCACGTTTCCATGGAAATGAAGGAGGGGCAGGATGTAGCTCACTCTGACTACCTGGGAGGATGGCAGGACAGGCAGTTAATAAACATATCGCCTTCCACTCCTACCCAACACATACAACTGTCCGCAGCCAACCCCCATGCTCATTGCCTGATCCACTCCCTTCCCTTCTGGAACTGGTATCATGCTAACTGGACTCCAGGCAGGGCTCCTGGTGTCCACTCTCTAGCCAGGTCTCGCTGGCAGCCAGAAACTGAGTATGTCTGTCAAGCTCAGTAGCAGCCCCAGGAGTGCCTTGGGGAAAAGCAGCAGCTAGTGCCCCCGACTACTGTGTACAGCTGCTGTGTCTTAAGCGTCTCTGCTCAGACAAAACAAAAACATACACCCAAATGCATAAGGTTAGAAACAACACAAAATAACAATGCTGAGAGCTAGGGTGGGGAGAGGAGGCACATCTTTCCAAGACCTGTGCCACCCGTGCACCCCGCCTTCTGCCACCTGGAGTTTGCTCTTTCCACTGGGCTGTTGCTTTCAGGGGCTGGAATCCAAATCTCTGTTTGGTGCTGAGAGCTGTAACCACTGCTGTTGGTTGATGAGGCTCGCCTGTGGCTCTACTGAGGAGGTGCAGGATGGATTCTCAGTACCATGGGTCAGCCCGGTGCTGCTGGTTGTAGAGCTGTAGCTTGATCTGGTCTTTGATCTGATTCACAAGGATCATGGACAGCAGGATTCCCACCAGCTGGGAAAGGTGAGAAGGAATTGGGTCCTCAGCAGTGAGTGACGCCCTTGTTTTCCCGGACTCAGTCTTCCCAGTGCAGTCAGCACCATCACATTCTCTGCCCCTCGGCAATGTCAATGCCTGACACCCTTGGTGATCCCCAGGTGCCCTCCCCAAACAAAGGAGTCTTAACAGAATTGTGGAGCCCACAGTTTTACAGGGTAAGTTACCTGGGGGATGGCCAGGCCCAGTGCCACACCACCAAGTAAGAAGAGGTTGCTGTGTATCCAGTTGACCAGTCTGTCAATACAGCCATTGGTGTAGATGACTTTACTAGCTTCCAAGTAGTCGAGGGCCTGCATGCCTTGGCCACACATGGTGTTTATCACTGCCTGGGGAGAGAGTTGAAGTCAAGTGAGACTCCCATTCTAATAACTTCTTCTTTTGGGCCTTAGCTGATGGGCTTCCCTAAACTCCTAAATTGTTGGAGAATATATGTGGAGGATGCTAGACTGGAAGTTGCTAAATACCGACTTACCTTCCTCTGAGAGGTCTGAGTCCAGGTCTCCCTGGTTTAGAGACCTGTGTCTTCTGAACCCCGAAGTGGGCTATAGGAGTGAATCAGATTGGGTGAAGAAAAACATCTGACAGCTGTCCTACAAAATTGATTGGTTAAACTAGGGGATGGGGATTCCCAATAGCAGCTAATCGGAATGTAACTCACATCACTGCGAAGAAGGAAATGAGATGGGCTTGCCTGTGTGCTTACCTGGTTGGGGGTAGGCAAGCAACAGGAGTAAGGCACAGAGCAGCGCTCACGGCTGGGGTTGTCTTCTGAACAGTTGAAATACATGTTCTGGGACCAGTCTTTGTAGGAAATCCCTCCACAGCAGCTGAACTGCAACAAACACCACAGGGGTTAAGAATCACCCACCCCTCACATTGAGGCGACAAGGGGAACGCTCAGAGCAACCAAAAGTCTATGGCAAGCTTCCACTTGTAAGTTCACGTGTTTAAACACAGCATTGAAATTTGAGTTCAAGCTTCTCAGCAGCCTTTACCTGAAGTTTTCTCTTCTTAATTTCTATTGTTTTATATATCTTGTTATAACTTACTGTTGTATATATATTTTGTTTTACACATTCAGCTGTGAGCTCCTTGAGGCCAGTTTCTGGTTTTGAACTCCTGCACAGCATAGAGCCTGGCAAAAGCAGATGTTCCAAAAATACTGGCTGAAATAATTAAAAGATTAATACTATACAAACATTTGCCTTAATATAGAGAAAACACATCAGGAGACACTTTAATATTGTGGGCCCATAATTACACCATGAAAGCAACTAGAAGCCAAGTCAACAGTGTAGCATAAGTGAATGGTAACTCAGCATTGGTCTCAAAAGCAGTTTTGTTTAAAATTTAACTTTTGATTCATAGCAGATACTTGTATGCCCATGCTCATAACGGCATTATTAATAATAGACAAAAGGTAGAAGTGACCAAAGTGTGCTTCCATAGATGAGTCAATTAACAAATATGGTGTATAATATGATGGAATATTATTCAGCCTCAAAAAGGAAGAAAAATTTGGTACATTCCACATGGATGAATCTTGAAGACATGTTAAGTGGAACAAGCCAGTCACAAAAGGACTGAAATGCAGAGACAGAAAATAGAATGGTTGCCAGAAGCTGTGGGGAGGGGGAAATGGAGAGTTAGTGTTCACTGGGTACAGAGTTTCTGTTTGGGAAGATGAAAAAGTTTTGGAGATGGTTGGTGATGATGGTTGTACAACAATGTGACTGCACTTAGTGCTACAGATCTGTATGCTTTAAAATGATAAATTTTGTTATGTATATTTTACCACAGTTTTAAAAAATCTAACTTTTCAATAGGTAACATTAAAAAAAAATCTGCCCAGCTCCTGCTCCCCCTATAAGTAACCACTTAAAATGATTCCTTACCTACCCATCCAGATTCCTTTTGCAAATATGAACACATATTCTTTCCTCTCGTTTTTTGCACAAAGGGTAGATTACTATATACTGTTCTGTACCCTTAAAAGCACTTTTAAAGCTACATGTGTTTTTTTTTTGCCCCTTCCCAGAATCCATTACCTGGCAGATAATGCAGAAGCCCACAGGCCTGGAGGGTAAGGTGTCTCTTGGGATGACATTAACTTTTGCCCACAGCTTCCCAGACCACTAGATGACCACCCCCACTCTTAGCCCATACCTTCTTCTGGCCAAAATCAATGAGGTTCTGCAGATCCAAGTCATCTCGGTAGTGCACGATGGCATTATTGATGATCTCATTCACTTTCCCCCGCGCCTGCCAGAAACATGAGGAGGGAATCAGAATACAAGACTAACCCCTCACCTGCTCCTCCCTGCACAAATAACAATAGGCAGTGGTTATCCTTCCTTATTTAACTCAGACTTGAAATCAGAACCAAGTCCTAGTGATGGAAGATGGCCAGTTCTGAGGCCTCTGCATCCCTGGACCCTCAGGTACCAGGGGGCAAGAAAAATGCTGGACCTGCTCAGAGCCATATTTCAATAAAATCCAATATTTATCACTGAATACTGTTACTACAAAATACTTGTTGACTGATGCAAAGCCGCAAAACTTCTGTATGTGTATGTGTGTGTCTGTGTCTTTAGTAGAAAAGGACTTACTGAACTGAGGCACTGACCTCTAGTGGACACCAGAGAATTGCATCCCTTTAGACTCAAAAAGCTATCATTTTAGGATTTTACTAAGCCAGGACGAGGACTTTCTGAATTAGCTCAGTGGTTCTCAATTTCATAGTTTCTACCATGCTCTCTTCCTTCCTACTTCATTACTTTTCTCAAAGTTTCCTACCCATAGTCCTGTACTCTGCCCCTGGCAATCATTTGCCCTTTGGGAAAGAAATCTGGTTCTTAATTAAAAGGACAGTCACTGAGGGGCAGACCACTTCCAGATATGGTAAGCACTGTTCAAAACCTTGTTTGTTTGTTTGCTTCCCCCCTTTCTTACTTTTGTTTACCCCAATAAATAATTTTTAAAAGAAATAAAGAGCTC